TTGCAGTGAGCTGAGATCATGCCACTGCACTCCAGCCTGGGTGACAGAGTGAGGCTCTATCTCAAAAAATAAAATAAAATAATTAAAAAAAAATTAAAATCATAATAGTGTTGTCCCATATCACCACGGCTCTCAGCCCAAGGTAGACAGACTTGTGTTGAAGAGATTGTGAGTGTTGCTGTAGTCTAACAAACTGTATTTCATAATGTGATACACAGGAAACCTACAAAGTATTTAAATAAATTGTATCAGCTTACATAAAAAGGGACAGAGAGAGTTCAAAGTGAAAAGTGGCCTCTAGTCAACCTCCTACAAGCAGGAAGCAGGCAAATGAAGCTGCTCAGCTACAAATATCAACCATCTTTCATGAAAAAGGAAGTATTCACACTATTAAGAGGCAGAGCCAACAGCCCAACTGAGTCAGCTCGGGTTCACAGTAGCTGCTCTGTGCTATGCACCATGAACTCTTAACCTGCTCTTGGACAGCTCAGCCCTCAGCCACAGATTCAAGTGAACCCACAGAGAGACTTCTGGGGCCCTCCCTCTCCTACCAGCTTTCTCCTCTCCTGTCCTAGTCCCACAAAGTCCAGACACTTCAGGAGCTCTGACCTCTCATCTTTACCTACTCAGCTCAGCAAGTTCATTGCTACACTCTTTCCTTTTTTGAGAGGAGTCTCGAGTCTCGCTCTGTCACCCAGGCTGGAGTGCAGTGGCAAGATATCTCCGCTCACTGCAAGCTCCGCCTCCCGGGTTTACGCCATTCTCCTGCCTCAGCCCTGGAGTAGCTGGGACTATAGGCACCCGCCACCACGCCTGGCTAATTTTTTTTGTATTTTTAGTAGAGACGGGGTTTCACTGTGTTAGCCAGGATAGTCTTGATCTCCTGACCTCGTGATCTGCCCGCCTTGGCCTCCCAAAGTGCTGGGATTACAAGCGTGAGCCACCGTGCCCGGCCCACTGCTACACTCTGATTTGTTTTTACTTTCCTGGGTCATGTTCTAGAAAGCGCCCAAGCCAAAGAGCTGGGACAAATACAGGTCTCTCTTTGGCATTTCTCTTCTCTCAAGAATCAGTCATGATCCTGGACTTCCTAATGCTTAATATCTGAAATGGCTTCATATATTTTTGTCCAGTTTTAGTGGGAGGGTATGCTCTTTATCAGTTACTCCATCACAACTGGAAGCAGAAGTGACTTTTGTTTTTAATGAGATTTTGTTTGTGTGTTGAGGAGTCTGGCTCCTGGTTAAAAACCCGTGTATGATTTTTCAGGCCCGACTACAGGTAATTACAAGGTTTTACCTGGCAGGCCTCACAGGGAAAGCTGCCCTGGCTGCACCAGACTTGGGGCACAGCCAGTGCAGCACTGTGCTCTCTGAAGGGAGGTGGGGTTAAGGACTCAGGTCTCTCCTGGCTGGCCATGCTCTTACTTGCATTCCTAAGTAAATTATTATATGTGGACGAAGACATGGTGATTTCTTTTTTTTTTTTTTTTTTTTTTGAGACGGAGTCTCGCTCTGCTGCCCAGGCTGGAGTGCAGTGGCCAGATCTCAGCTCACTGCAAGCTCCGCCTCCCGGGTTTACGCCATTCTCCTGCCTCAGCCTCCCGAGTAGCTGGGACTACAGGCGCCCGCCACGTCGCCTGGCTAGTTTTTTGTATTTTTTTAGTAGAGACGGGGTTTCACCATGTTAGCCAGGATGGTCTCGATCTCCCGACCTCGTGATCCGCCCATCTCGGCCTCCCAAAGTGCTAGGATTACAGGCTTGAGCCACCGCGCCTGGCCCAACATGGTGATTTCTTTTTGACATATTATGGAAAATTATATTGATTAATGATCATATCAAACAATCCTTTCAATATGGTATAGCAGTCTTTCAATGAACTACATGGTGCAGTATTCTTTCAGCGATCTGCTAGATTGTATTAACCCATATTAGTAAAAAGGAGCAGGCAGATTTTGTTTGTTTGTTTGTTTTTGAGATAGGGTCTCACTCTTTTGCCTGGGCTGGAGTACTGTGGCATGATCACGGCTCATTGTGGCCTTGACTTCCCAGGCTCAAGCGTTCTTTCTGTCTTAGCTTCCCGAGTAGCTGGGACTACAGATGTGCACCACCAAGCCTAGCTCGCTCTTTTTTTTTTTTTTTTTTCTGTCAAGACAAGGTCTTCCTGTGTTGCCCAAGCTGTTCTCAAACTCCAGGGCTCAAGTGACCCTCCTGCCTCAGCCCCACAAAGTGCTGGGATTACAAGCATGAGCCACTAATTCCAGCCTGTATTTTTTTAATGTTCTCTGTTCTCTGGAAGAATTTGAATAAAATCAAAATTATATTTTCTTTAAATTTTTGATAAAAGTGATCAGGTTTATAAAAACTTTTTGGTATTTATTGAGTCAATTTTAATAAAATTATTTTTCTAGACAATTTACCATCGTATTCAGGTTTTCTAATATATTAGTTTAAAACTATATAAAATATTGTCTTCTAATTCTTTTGTATCTATGGGTTTTCCCCCCCAATTCTGAATTCCAATTTTACATCTTTGTGCTTATTCTCCAATCATCTTTATGAAGCATCTTTTCTCCAGGCTTCTTTGCAAGGTCCCTGTCTGAGGAACTTCGAATTTTAGGAGTGCTTCAGGAACTGTTTGTAAGCTCCCTTGCTTCTTTCTCTATGTTTTCTTCCTACATGACCGTATCCCTTCACACGACTTTAAATACTTCCACAAGCAGATGACTCCCGTGCATTTCCAGGCTGACCCTCTCCTCAATGCCCAGCTTCATTCACATCCAACTGCCTTCTTGATGTCTCCACTGGGGTGGGCTCAGGGGCCTTTCAAATGTAAAGAATTCCTAACTGACCTTTTCATAACCACCTCTCCCAAAACTGCTTGTCTCCCATTCTTTCCCACTGCCACTTGGGAATGGCCAGACAGGTAGGAGTAAAATCCCCAGGGAGTAAATTTTGCCAAGGAAGCCAAGAGAAAAGAGCGTTTCAAGAACAAAGAAATGGTTAACTACGTAACTGATGTTGTGGGGTTGAGCATGGTTAGGGTAAAAAGTTACTGCTATGTCTTAATTCTTAGGTTGCATAGAGGGTTCACTAGTACTCATTCTGTTATATACACTTCATAATTACATATATGAAACGTATATTTATTTACAGGTATAAAATATTACCTAATAACTTTTATTTTTTTGTTTTTTATTTTTCGATTTTCTTTTTCAGACAGGGTCTCTGTCTGAAGCCCAGGCTGGAGTGCCATGGCATGATCTCGGCTCACTGCAACCTCCACCTCCTGGATTCAAGCGATTCTCCTGCCTCAGCCTCCCAAGTAGCTGGGATTACAGATGCCTGCCACCATGCCTGGCTAATTTTTGTATTTTTAGTAGAGATGAGGTTTCACCATGTTGGCCAGGCTGGTCTTGAACCCTTGACCTCAGGTGATCCACTAGCCTCAGCCTCCGAAAGTGCTAGGATTACAGGCATGAGCCACCACACCCAGCCATGTTTTTGTTTTTAAAGAAATAGAAAGTTGGCCGGGCGCAGTGGCTCACGCCTATAATCCCAGCATTATGGGAGACGGAGGTGGGCAGATCACAAGGTCAGGAGATCGAGACCATCCTGGCTAACACGGTGAAACCCCATCTCTACTAAAAATACAAAAAAATTAGCCGACCGTGGTGGCGGGCGCCTGTAGTCCCAGCTACTTGGGAGGCTGAGGCAGGAGAATGGCGTGAACCCAGGAGGTGGAGCTTACAGTGAGCCGAGATTGCGCCACTGCACTCTAGCCTGGGCGACAGAGCGAGACTCCATCTCAAAAAAAGAAAGAAAGAAATAGAAAGTCCCTAATGCCTTAAGTGACATCTTACCTGATGATGATAGCTGATGATTACCTTGAAAGAGTGGTTTGGATGGAAGGGTATGGGCTGAAGCCACTTGGAAGCAGAATAAGAATGCAGGAGAGGTAAGAACAAGGAGGCAACATGTGTAGACCACTCACTATGAAGCTTGGCTGTGAAGGGTGGCAGAGACATGGAGAGGCAGCTGGAAAGGAAGGTGGGCCCAGTAGTTTCTCCAGAGTATGTGAGTATGTTATGGGAAATGATCTAGGAAAGGGGAAAAATGATGATGGAGATGAGAGAGGACAATCAAACAGGGGGGCTCTTGAGGAGATGGGGTGGATGGGGTCTTGAGCTGGTGCTAAAGGACAGGACTGTGATAGAAAAACAAGTTCTGATCCATAACGAGATGGAAGAAAGAATCAAAAAGTGTAAAAGCCAGCAGGTTTATAGGTTTGTGATAGGGATGGTCTGATGGTTTTTATTTTCTCAATGAAGTATAAGGTAAGATTCCGGTTTGAGAGTGACATGGGGACTGAGGAGGAGAGAAGGAAGTGTTGGGAACCTGGTCGAGGTCTGAAATAATTTAAAGGAAAATCAAGTCAAATCTTTTGTTCTTTTTTCTCTGAGACAGGGTCTCACTTTTGTCACCCAGGAATGATCTTGGCTTACTGCAACCTCTGCCTCCCAGGCTCAAGCTATCTTCTCACCTTAGCCTCCTGAGTAGTTGGGACTACAAATGTGTGCCACCATGCCCGTGTAATATTTGTGGTTTTTTGTAAAGATGGGGTTTCACCACGTTGCCTAGTCTGGTCTTGAACTGCTGAGCTCAAACGATCCACCCACCTCAAGTCAAATCTTCACCTGAGCTTAGTAAGTTGGGTGTAGGTAATTAGAGATAACAAAATCAAGGGTTCCCATTAAGCCATATTACGGAATTTGACATTAACCTGAAGGCAATTGAGAACCCTCAAGGCTTGAAGGAGGGAAGACCTATCCGAATCCTGTATTTGAACGTGCCCCCTGGCTAGGATGTCTTTTCAGGTAGTGCCAAAGGACCAGGGTCTAAGCCCCTGCAGCACGTAGTGCCCTTGCTCCCGTGTGGAGGGGAAGACCCAGCACTCAGCGCAGGCACGTGCAGCACCCCCGTAGCACCCGGGGCCATACCTCTGTACGCTGTCTTTAGGAAGTATGAATGTCAATTCCTCTCCAATGCTGGATGCCAAAATTGCGTTTGGTATGTGATGATAAATCAGATGAGAGATGTTCTCCGTATCACAATTAGGTTTTTTCAGTGAAGTTATATAATATCCTGCACCTGAAACACCATTTGAAAGATCATGAAACAATTTCACTTTTTATACTTTTCTTCAGCCACGTTCAGTTTTCTGTGGCTTAGAGTGGGACAGCTCCATGGGAAAGAGAAGTTGGAGCGACCTGTGGGGCCAAATTTAAACCACAGTGAACTCGCTAGGAAGCTCCGTAGTGCTGTTCTTGAGAGTCTTCCCTTCCACTCTATAACTGGTAGGTGATCATGGCAAATGTAGCAAGGTTAGGCACCAGGACAGAGGGCTGCTTTCAGGGTGACACTCCCTTTAAGTCATAACTATTTTTGGAAAGTGAAAACTCAGTAGCCAGAGGCCTTAAATGTTAAGGTAAAGAACAAAGACAAGACACATACCTTATGGCATTCCAAATTCTTTCAGCACTTAGCAACACTTGTTACTATTGTTCGTTGATGTACTCATTCAGTAAACATTTCCTGAGGCCCTAGGATGTGACAGGCACTGTCCTAGGTACTGAGGATATAGCAGTGGACCAAACAGTCAAAAATTCCTATTCTCATGGGGCTTTCACTAACGGGGTGGGAGACAAACAATAAATGAGATAAATACGTAAAATGGATAGAGTATTAGTGATACATGATAAAGAGAAAAGTAAACATAGGAGGGGATAGGAGTGTTGGGGATGTGATTTTAAACAAGGTAACAAAGAAAGGCCTCATTGAGAATGGGACATCTCAGAAGGCACAGCGACACCTGGCCTGGAGGAACGAGTGTGCCTGGAGTGCTGGATCAGCACGGGGCCCTGGGCAGCAGAAGCAGAGAAAGGACGTGGAAGAGTGTTAGGAAATGAGGTTGGGGTAACAGGGTCAGAAAATGTGAGGCCCTAGAGGCTACTCCAAGGACTTTGGCTTTTCCTCTGAGTGAACAGAGAAGCCACTGGAGGTTCCAAGCAACAGAATGACATGCACTGTAATACGCCCATTTTGACACCTGGATTGAGAGCAGCAAGATGGGTTAGTAGGCATCTGCAGTAATCCAGGTGGGAGGAGATAGTGGTCTGCACCAGAAAGCAGTGCTACACAGTGATCAGAGGTGGGGACAGAGACGGAACCTTGATATATTTTGTAGATAAGACCAAAAACGTCTGCAGATATATCAAATATGAGCTTTGAGCAAAAGAGGTGTCAGGGAGCCTGCAAGGTTTCAGTTAAACACTTGGAAGAACGAAGTTGCTTTTACTAAGAAGACAAAATCTGCGGGAGGAGCAGGTTTAACAGACAGCATTGGAGCTCAGTGCTGCACAGGCTTCTCACAAGTCTCAGAGATCCGTTCAACACCTACATTGAGGTGTGGGAGAGGCAGTCAGATGTATAGACCTGGGGTTCAGGAGAGAGGGTCCAAGCTAGAGACACACATGATTTTCCACACAGAGAAGGTATGAATATTTAAAGCCAGGGGACTGGATGAGATTACTAATTCAGTGAGCAGAGAAAGAAAAGTGAAGACGGTCAGAGGAAGGAACAGTGCAAAGGAACAGCAGAGACATGGAGGAGCCAGGGAGCAGGGGTGCAGGAGGACAGCAGGGGACAAGCACAGAGGGGTGCTGATGAGGGCTGCAGTCAGCTGTAGAAATGAAACTAACACTTGTAGGATGCTTTCACACACAGTGTCTCACTCTTTGAGGAATGTAGTATCTTAATCTTCATTTTATAGATCAGAAAACAAAGGCTAAGAAAGGAGAAACGAACATGACCACCTAGATGACAATACAGTAAACTGGCAGATTGTAACTCAAACATGGGCCTTCCGACTCCAAGAGATATCTCATGCCTCTTCCCTCTCACAAGCCCCCCTGCCCGGCTGGGCTCTCCACTCAGAGGCAACAGACAGGAGATCTAGAAAAGGCCACCCCTGCCTGATCTCAGGGCCCTTCATACGGGTAGCAGCCATTCCCTCAGCACAGCAGCCAGGACACCGACCCCGTTGCGGGCTGGCCCCACCACTCACTGTATTTCTGCTTGAGGAACAGTGAGGACCCGCAGCACTGCAGCTCCCCCTTGGCCATGATGGCGATGCGGTCTCCCAGCAGGTCAGCCTCGTCCATGAAGTGGGTGGTCAGCAAGATGGTGCGGTTACTTTTCTGCTGTTGCAGAAGATCCCAGATGGCCCTCCTGGAGATGGCATCCATGCCCGAGGTGGGCTCGTCCAGTATCAGCACCTGGAGGCAGAGACACAGCCTCATGATGCTGGTAGAGCCACACCCCAGGCTGGCCTTGTGGTAGGCCCCATCAAGGGGTTCACAGAGTCAGCTTGAGTCCTCCAAAGATGGTGATGGCCTTGTCTGGGGAGTCAAGGGCCAAGGTGCCTGGGCCATGGCAGAAGGGCCAGCCCAGGTCGAGCAGCAGGGGAGCCCACTGCCTCCAGTCCCACCGCCGCACTTTGGAGCCTGCGATGAGGGCGATGCCGATAGAGAGCTTGCGCCTCATGCCCCCGCTCGGGAAGCGGCTCCGTGAGTTCCACTTGTCCTCCAGGCCGATGATGTGCAGCATCTGCTTGACTTCTTCAGGGCACTTCTGACGCGACAGGCCCTTCAACTGCAACGACAGGGGACGCAGGGAGATGCAGGGCTCCTGGCAAAAGGCTGACCCTGGTCAGCGAACATTTTGCTTGTGTGTATACATGTACATAAAAACTTACACAAGAAACTTATGACCTTCAGGGAGAGGGATGGACAAAGACTTTTACATATGAACCATGTAAATAAACTTATGATGTTAAAAAGTAAATACAGCAGCATGTTAAAGGGTTATTCATCACAACCAAGTGGGATTTATCTCAGGAATGCAAGGGAGGCTGAACACATGAAAAACCAGTGTTTCAGTGTTTTATGATAAAGAACTGGCTGGCCTTTGTCCCCGGTTCCTGGAAAGAAGCCTCTAAATGCTTAGAATTTCTGGAGTAATAGGAGTATCTTTGTTACTCATAGTGGATCTCTACCCCCCCATCGTCATACCTGAGTTTATGCTAAGGAGGAGACTCAGGATGCGGGATGGTCACACTAGAAAGACCAGCCATGTGATTAGAAGGTTGGGGCTTTGAGCTATGTGATGTTAGCCTGCCTCTCAGTTTCCTGGGTTGTGGAGAGAATGCTGGAGATGGAGTTCAATGATGTGGCTAATGCTTCAATCATTCATGCTTGTGTAACAAAACCCCAATAAAAACTGGATACTCAAAGCTTAGGTGAGCTACCCCAATAGACGCCAATATGCTAGGAGGGTGCTACGTCCTGAGGACACAGAAGCTTTGCATTTGGGACTCTCCTAGACCCCACCCATGTGGCTATTTTTTTGGCCTGTCCTGAATTGTATCCTCTAGAATAGAACTATAATCGTAAGTGTAGTACTTTCCTGAGTTCTGTCAGTCATTCTAGTGAATTAACAAACCTGAAAGATTAGTGGGATCTCCACATTTGTAGCCAGTTTGTCAGAAGTGCTTTGTTTGTCTGGGAACCTCCAAGCTTGTGGGTTCTAAAGTGGAGGCAATCTTGTGGGGGACTATACCGCTAATGTGTGAAGCCTATGCTAACTCTATTGTTAAAGTCACACTTTTTTTTTTTTTTTTTTTGGAGAATGGGGTCTCACTATATTGCCCAGGCAAGTCTTGAACTCCTGGGCTCAAGCTATCCTTCCGCCTCTGTCTCCCTAAGAGCAGGGATTACATGCATGAGCCACCACACCCAGCCCATTTTTAGAGTCAAATTGCACTGCAGCAATATAGCATATTAACAGAAAGAAGGGCCAAAATCACATGAAAATCTCAGTAGACACAGAAAAGCATTTGACAAAATACAACACACTTTCATGATAAAAACACTCAGCAAACTAGGAATGGAAAGGAACTTCCTCAGCATGATAAAAGGCATCTATGAAAAAAAACACAGATAGCATCCCACCTAATGGTGAAACTGAAAGCTTCCCCCGCAAAAAAATCAGGAACAAGACAAGGATGTCTGCTCTTGCCACTTTATTCAATATTTTACTGGAAGTTGTAGCCAGGGAAATTAGCCAGAAGAAAAAAAGCCATCCAGACTGAAAGAAAGATGTAAAGCTATTGCCTCTTGGCAGATCACATAAACTTATATATAGAATGCATTAAAGAATCCACAAAAAGCTATTAAAGCTAATAAATCAGCCTAGGAAAATGTCAGGATATAAGATAAATATACAAATAGGAGTTGTATTTCTTTACACTAACAATGAACAACCCAAAAATGAAATAACAAAAATAAATTCCATTTACATTAGTATCACAAAAGACAAAACATTTAGAAATAAATTTAACCAAGGAAGTGTAAGAAAGGCAAGTACACTGAAAACCGTAAAACATGGCTGAAAGGAATTAAAGAAGATCTAAATAAATGGAAATACTTTTTGTGTTCATAGATTGGAACACTTAATTTTGTTAATACGACATTACTATCCAAAGCAATCTAGAGGACGGGTGCAGTGGCTCATGCCTGTAATCCCAGCACTTTGGGAGGCCGAAGTGGGTGGATCACCTGAGGTCAGGAGTTCAAGATCAGCCTGGCCAACATGGTGAAACTCCTTCTCTACTAAATAATACAAAAAAATTAGCTGGGCATGGTGGCACGCACCTGTAATCCCAGCTACTCGGGAGGCTGAGGCAGGAAAATCGCTTGAACCCGGGAGGCTGAGGTTGCAGTGAGCTGAGATTGAGCCTTTGTGCTCCAGCCTAGGCAACAGAGCAAGAATCCATCTCAAAAAAATAAAAATAAACACAAAGCAATCTAGAGATTCAATGCAATCCCTATTAAAATTCTAATACCTTATTATTTTTTTTTTTGCAAAAATAGGCAAGCTGATCCTAGAAATTCATATAGAAATGCAAAGGACTCAGAATAGCCAAAACAATCTTAAAAAGAAGAACAGAGTTGGAGGACTCATATTTCCTAATTTCAAAACTTCCTAGAAAGCTACAGTCATCAAGACATTTTGGTACTGGCATAACAACAGACATACGGAACAATGGAATAGAATTGGGCGTCTAGAAACAATCCCATATATCTATGGTAAATAGATTTTTTACAAGGGTGCCATGACCATTCAATGCGGAAAGAGTAGTCTTTTCAACAAATAGTGCTGAGACAACTTAATATCTATATGAAAAAGAATAAATGTAGACCCATACCTCATACCATATACAAAAATTTACCCATAATGGATCAAAGATCTAAATGTAAGAACCAAAGCTATGAAATACTAGAAAGAAATATAGGTGTAAATCCTAGACAATAATTTTAAAAATATAATAGCAAAAGCATAAGTAACAAATGAAAAAAAGATAAATTAGATTTCATCAAAATTTAAAACTTTTGTGTATCAAAAAACACTATCAAGGGAAAAGACAATCCACAGAGTAGGAGAAAATATTTGCAAGTCATATAACATATAATAAGGGCCTAGGATCTAGAATATACACTTAAAAACTTTTTACAGGCTGGGTGCGGTGGCTCACATCTGTAATCTCACTCAGCACTTTGAAAGATGAAGGCAGGAGGATCATTTGAACTCAGGAGTTTGAGACCAGCCTGGGCAACATGGTAAAACCCCATCTTTTAAAAAAAAAAAAGAAAAAAAAAATTAGCCAGGCATTGGCCTGTGCCTGTGGTCCCAGCTACTTGGGAGGCTGAGGCAGGATGATCACTTGAGCCTGGGAGGCAGAGATTTCAATGAGCTGAGATCCTGTCACTGCACTCCAGCCTGGGTAACAGAGTGAGAGGTGAGAGGCTGTCTCAAAAAGAAAAAAAAAAAAAAAAAGCCAGGCACAGTGGCTCACATCTGTAATCCCAGCACTTTGGGAGGCTGAGGCAGGTGGATCGCCTGAGATCAGGAGTTTGAGACCAGCCTGGCCAACATGGTGAAACCCTGTTTCTACTAAAAATACAAAAAAAAAAAAAAAAAAATTAGCCAGGCGTGGTGGTGCATATTTGTAGTCCCAGCTACTGAGAAGGCTGAGGTAGGAGAATCGCTTGAGCCTGGGAGGCAGAGGATGCAGTGAGCTGAGATTGCACCATTGCATTGCCGCCTGGGTGACAGAGCGAGACTTCGTCTCAAAAAAAAAAAAAAAAAGAAAAAAGGAAAAGAAAAAGAAAATGGGCTCCACAGATGTGATTAAGTCAAGAATTCTGAGATGGGGAGATTAGTCAGATTATCTGGATGGGCTCAATGTAGTCACAAGAGTCCTTAGAAGAAGAAGGCAGGAGTGAGAAATGGAGATATGATAGAAGCACATGTCAGAGAGAGAGAGAGAGAGAGAGAGAGAGAGAGAGATTCGAAAGTGATCTGCTGCTGGCCTTGAAGATGGAGGAAAGGGTCACGAGCCAAGGAATGCAGGTGTCTTCTAAAAGCTGAAAAAGGGAAATAATTCATTCTCCTCTACTGTCTCCAGAAAGAATACAACCCAGCAAGGTGAAGACACCTTGATTTTAGCCCAGCAAAATGCATTTCAGATCTTGGCTATAAGACAGTAGATGTATGTTGTTTTAAGCCACTAAGTATGTAACCGATTGTTACAGCAGCAATAGGAAACTGACATACTGACATTCAAAGTTTAAAAAGCAACTGTATAGTAATTAACATCTTAAACTTATAACAACTAAATTTGAATAATACCAACTTAGTTTCAACACACACACTCTGCTCATATATATCTCTGCCCCCTCCCTTTATATTGTTATTGTGACAGATTGTGTCTTTATACATTGTGTGTCCATTAACATAGACATCCACATTAACACATATGCACTTGCCTTTTAAATCATATGGAAAAGAAAAGGAAATGTGATGGACCAAAAGTACAATAATACTGGCTTTAGTTACCTTTAACAGTGGCCTTTATTTCTTCTAATGGCTTAGAGTTACATCTAGTGTCTTTTCATTTCAGCCTGAAGGACTCCCTTTAGCATTTATTGTAGGGCAGGACTACCGGTAATGAACTCTCTCAGCTTTTATCTAGAAATATCTTAATTTCTAGATAATTTTGCTGGATATAGAGTTCTTGATTACAGGATATTTTTCCTTTAAAAGTTTAAAATATGTCATACCACTGTCTTCTGAACCCCATGGTTTCTGTAGAGAAATCAGCTGTTAATTTTAGTGAGGATCTCTTGTATGTGAAAAGTTTCTTCTCTCTTGCTTTTTTTGTTTTTTGAGACAGAGTCTCACTCTGTTGCTAGGCTGGAGTGCGGTGGCACGATCTCGGCTCACTGCAACCTCTGCCTCCCAGGTTCAAGTGATTCTCCTGCCTTAGCCTCCCAACTAGTTAGAATTACAGGCATGTGCTGCCACACCCAGCTAATTTTTATATTTTTATTAGAGATGATGTTTCACCACGTTGGCCAGGATGGTCTTGATCTCTCGACCTGGTGATCTGCCCACCTTGGCCTCCCAAAATGCTGGGATTACAGGCGTGAGCCCCTGCGCCTGGCCTCCTGCTGCTTTCAAAACTCTCTTTGTCTTTGGATTTTGACAATTTAACTATAATATTTCTTGTTGTAGATTTCTGAGTTATCTTG